AGAATAATGTGTATATTGTTTATTAATAAATGTTTAATATAATAAACTTAATTCCCAAACCTTTTAATCTTTTTTCAGAATTCTGAGATTGAAATTATAATTTAGGAATATATTTATTTATTTCCTGTTCCATGGCCCTAATCCTCCTCTGTTTTTCAACTGATGATTCAAACCCCACCTGTGGAGTCAGAGCAAGTCCAGACTGGTGCGGAAGAAGTCCAGGTTGACTCTGGGTCGGGAGAGAGAGCAGGTTCGGCTGCAGGAGGGCTGCAGAACAAAACAGGATTTATTTTTATGAATCAGGATGAATGCAGCACAGAACCAGAACCCTCCTGCTGCTCAGGATTTGATTTAAACGAGTAAATATTTCAGTTTTCTGACGCCTTTGTTTAAAATGTGAAAAGTATAACTGTCTATTTATATCAAGGTAAATGTTACTCCTTGACTTCTACTTATTCAGTTTTGTGCCTCTGAGGACGCTGCTGTAAAGTTTCACCTTGATGACTGGAGGGACTCTGGGAGAGCAGGAAGGAGGATGGAGAGGACAGGTGAGACGGTGGCATCAGGACCAGCTGCTGCATGGGGTGGAGTGAGGTGAGCTCCTTTAGCAACAAACAACAAAACAAGTCAATAATCATCTGTACATGTAGAGTCTGTGAGAGATGATTTTAAAAATAAAATGTCTAAATGTTAATTATCCAACCTTTCACTTCCTTCATGACCTTAGAAAAGACTTTTCTGAAGAATTTATTTCTGATTTCATGAGTTGATCCACTTAAAATGATGCTTATTTTTCAAATTATGGCATCAGAGGAAAATGCAACGACAAAAGTTGTGTTTTAAAGGTAAACTAGTTCTATTAATTTTATTAGTAAAGCTTAGCCTGGGCCTTTAAAGTGAAGATCAAGCAGCTGGTTTATACCAGGCTAAGTAAAGCTCTTTGGTTTTTAATGTCTAGTTGAGGAAAAGACTAAAATAGTATTTTTAATTTCTACGTTATCACATTAAATATAAATCATTATACTAACACATTTTTACATCTGTGACTATATTAATGTCACAGATCACATGTGTCAAACACAAGGCCCGCGGGCCACATTTGACTCCCGTTTG